ATGTCCTATGAGTCCTACTAGTACAGGTTCGAGTAGCTGCTATGCTTAGGTTTTTAGTAGCTTGAGTAACCTGCCGTTACTCACAATAGATGATTATTATAAATACTCTCATGATAAAAAGAGTGAAAGAAAAAAATGGAGACATGACAGGGATATGATATGGGTATTTGTGGGTGTAACATGTTGTGTCCCGCGGCCAACGGGGCTTAGCTTGGTTACACTATTTTCCCTGTTCATGTTGATTAAGGACCGTCCGTGGCTGTGGATGGTAGTCAGGCAGACTTATTATCCTAAGCATATACTTGCTTATGCGAGCACGAATGCTCGTTATACTCTTGTCGTGGGTTTTGGCTCTTTCCGGACTGACTGATGGGAGACGGGGAAAGGTAGAGGTCTAAGCACCATACTGAGACCGAATCTTAAGTGTGGGGGCTTGGAGTCCAAGTTTGGACGGGGACCTAAATCCCTTGACAGGAGTAAAATGGTTGGTCTTGTTTATGTCTGGGGTATAAATAGAGCGTGTGTTTTGGGGTACCTAGCTGGGATACATTGGTTCACGAATCGCCATTTCCATGAGATGGTACGACTTGGCTATGGTCTAGCACCGTAGTAAGAACTAGAAGATAAAAGATGGTGAAATGGTTCTGATTGCTCAACCCTTGCTTGAAAGTAGAATAGATGCTTTACCTAGAATGGTTAGCTAATGAAGTAATCATAATTGCTAATAAAACTTGATTTTAAGGACGTACTCTTAGTAATGTTTTTCATAAACAAAAAGAAAAACATCAAACTTATATTGCCTATCATACTCCTTGGAGTCGAAAAACTATTCCCACTAGTCGGGTAAGTCTTGCGAGTATATTGTGTACTCAGGGTTTATTTTACCCCTGTTGCAGGTGCAGCTTGAGGATTAGCTCTTATGTGGAGGATTCTTCTGGTGGGCACAGACGGATCCTTGTATCGTTTTCGCTACATGTTTATTTTCATTCCGCTGTTTAATTATCGCACTATGAACTCTGGTATTGTAATAAATAATTTTTAAGAACTCTTGTTGTATGAAATGAACTGAGTATTGTAATATCGTACTCATTGTTGGATTCTGGATGTAACACATGGATTGTTTTGAGTTCTCCCTTGAGGTGGGCTCGACAGAACTGTCTGATGTAGCTAACTTTCGGGGTGCTTACTGTCTAGAGGAAGAGGAGTACCTCCGAAAGCATGTTATTTCAAACAGTTCTGCTACACTGATTAGTGTCAGGTTGCTGCTCTTTAATTTAATAATAATTAATTAATAAGCGGCAAAAACAATCAAGCACCGGTTTTGAACCTGCAACCTTTTGGAACCAATCAAGCCATTACATCCGTAACCAGTAAACCCATTACCTATTTGTGTTTCATTTTCTCACTAAATTTTACTTATAATAAGAGCAATGTCGGATTCAGAAGCCCCTCACTCCTACGTACGCGGGAAATATATTGAAAAAAATAAAAGTATTAGCACTGTGAAGGCATAAGACTGAAATCAAATGGCTATAAGTGCGCCACAGCTTAGGTGTGATTTCTAAATAACAAAAAAACATCTTTCAATATTTGATTTCTAAAAAACAAAAAAGTATAAGACTGAAATCAAATGGCTACAGGTGCGCCGCGTAATTTCTAAAAAACAACAAAACGCCTTTCAAGATTTGATTTCTAAAAAAAACAAAAAAAAAGTTTTCATATGGATTTGAACCCTTGACCAACCAACAAATTGAACAACTCTCTACCATTAGGCTACACATGCTTTTATTGGGACATGTAGGACATTGATTTTTTTATCACATTTCGTAACCTTGTGATAGGCTACACAAAAGACTTCGTAACATGTACGCAGGAAATATATTGAAAAAAATAAAAGTATTAGCAATGTGAAGGCATAAGACTGAAATCAAATGGCTATAAGTGCGCCACAGCTTAGGTGTGATTTCTAAATAACAAAAAAACGTCTTTCAATATTTGATTTCTAAAAAACAAAAAAGTATAAGACTGAAATCAAATGGCTACAGGTGCGCCGCGCAATTTCTAAAAAACAACAAAACGCCTTTCAAGATTTGATTTAAAAAACAAAAAAAAGTTTCATATGGATTTGAACCCTTGACCACCCAATAAACTGAACAACTCTCTACCATTAGGCCACACATGCTTTTATTGGGACATGTAGGACATTGATTTTTTTATCACATTTCGTAACCTTGTGATAGGCTACATGAAAGACTTCGTAACTTTCTAATTATAGTACCTTTCGAGATCTATAATTTTATAGTTAAATTTTTTTTGATTTGAGGTTGTTTGGATATCCAAATATGTATCATAAAATTTTATAGAGTTAATATCAATGGAGTCCATATGCTCTAAAGTCACAAGTGAGTGTAGTGGTAGAAAATGATCTCGAATGGAGAAATAAGCAAAATAAAAGTTGTAGATCTCAAAAAGTTATAAAATTGTATAGTTCACAACTTTTTATTTAAAGTTGTATGCTGAGTTATTTGTTTCACCATATTTAATAGAAGTCAATACCATAGGAATCCATGTGCTCTATTGTTATAAGTGAGTGTGTAGTTGTAGTTAAGGATGTCGGATGGAGAAGCGAACGAAACAAAAGTTGTAACTCTCGAAAAGTTATGCAACATTGTAGTTGACAACTTTTTTCGTTTGAAATCATCTATCCAACGAAGATTACATTTAATTTCTCACATTTAAAATTCGATTTTTTAAAATAACCTCGGATGGAGAAATGATCAAATCAAAAGTTGTAGATCTCGAAAAGTTATGTAACTTTGTAGTTGATGACTTTTTCATTTAAAATCATTTATAGAGTGAAAATATGGCCGAATTTCCTCACATTTAAAATTTAAATTTTTCATACGACCTCGGATCGAGAATTGACCAAAACCAAAGTTGTAAATCTTGAAAAGTTATAAAACTTTATAGTTGACAACTTTTTTATTTGATATAGCACTATTAACCATATTTTATTTTATCTTGCGCAAAAAAAACATATTTTAATTTAGATTCGATTTGCTTGATACAAAGTATCAATTTAATGTAATTTAATTTGCTAGGCCCGATTAAATGCCTAGGTAATTTTCAGATGTCTTACTTTATTAACTATCGGATTTAAATACTAACTCTAAAATAATAATATAAATTCAACGTAATCACAAGTTTTTGGTTTCGCCTTTTATGGCTCCCTTCATTCTTTCCCTCGTAATCACAAGTTAATAATTTTTTTGGTCATGTTTCGCTCCGGCCATTCTTTCCTTCCATTTTTTTATTTCGTACCTTTTTTCTCCCACACAGCTAATCTGTTTTTTGGTTACTCATACTAATTGTTGAGAAGTCTAATAGTGGGCCCACCCTTCATAGAGACTAGCTAGTGAGGACTGCGTGAAAACAGCATGAGAACCGCACCTTGATTGTGGATCTCGTCAGTTATCCCAGCTGAATCGTGGTTCCTTTTCTATTATTCTTTTCCATCGCACAAGCACAACTCCACAGCTCTCATCTCCCTACTGCAAACCACTACGCCACCACTGGCGCAGTAGTGGCGCTGCGTCCCCGCACCAGCGCCAGTGGCTGCACCGCGCCGCCGCAGGACAACGACCACGTGCCCCCGCACCCTCGCCGGTCCCTGTCGCCGCCTCCAGAGGTCACCGTCGCTGGTCCCTGTTGCCACCTCAAGAGAACGGTGTTGGATCGATCCCTTCTTCCGTGCAGCACGGGGATGATCAGAGTTCACTTCTTGGCCGCAGGTTCGCCTTCTGCATACTTCCGCTTCTTCGCCGCTCGCGACGAGTTCGCGCCGCCGCAGCGTGCGTGGCTGGTTGATTCCGTGCGTGGCTCGACGATTCCTGACTTTCTAGAATTCTACTAGAAACCAAGCGCGGCATTGCCACGCGTCTCCCTGTGTCGGATCAGCCCGTGATGTGAGATGGGTCCATCTGAAGATGATCAAAGACGATCAGTGCGTTGCCCAGCCTTTGCGCCAAACTGACCAATGGATCTTTTCGTGTTTGAAATGAGTTGATGATGTCTTGTTTGGCGCATGCTTGTCTGAAATCTAGCTCGAAAGTATAATAGCAGTCCGTACAATAATAAGATCTAACATTTCCTTACATTAGTTACTCACATTGAGGCACATTTTAATCATTTTCCATTTATCACTGCTGAATCATTTCTATGTAATGGCAACGCTTATTGTCTCATCAAGCAATCTGCAACACAGAACAATCATGAGCACCCTTGATTAAAAAAAAGGACCAACCAATAAATAGCTATACCAGTCTCTGCTAATCAGGTGGGGCATTAGCACAAGTGCAGTGGCTAGTGCCCCAATTGGAACAAGCTGTGAGACACCATCATCTCTTATTGGCATAATGGCATCACAGTCCCAACACTATGCATGCCAGGATTAGGCATTCCGCGTCCAGTGGGATAGCGGTAGCCATGACCACCTGTAGCCTGTAGGGGACATTTGCAGCATGCAGAAATTTCAGGCCTAATTCAACGAATGAAATTGAATGCCAAGAACAATACAGCATATCTGTTGCTGACCACCCATTGGCATGGGCTGCTGCACTCCACCAGTGCCAACAGCCCAACACGCCTACTAGCAGTAAGGTGTGGTTGCTGACCCTGCTGAACCATAGGCATCATAAAGTTCAGCATTGGACCAGCAGGCCTCATCCCAGGCATCAGAGGTTGTTGGAAGGCAAATCCAGCCTAACAAACAACACATAATTCATCAGATCATAAATATAATTACAAAGACACCAAGGAATTCAGGTTAATAACAGGATTCCTAATGCATCTTACAAAGCATAATTTCATATGTATCCATCAACATTCAACGCAAGTTACAATAAAATTAGAGAGCAATAGATGTGTGATTGTGCACAGTAAGATTTCGTGTTACTGAGGGAAAATACACCAAGCACATATATGAACATTTGAATGATACAATGGTACAATTGAATTGGATTTTTCATACCAGATTTATGTCAAATATTTATTTGTTTTAGTTCACTGCAGGATGGGCAAGCTGACAATGTGGAGGATGATGATCTGCAGCCACATAACAAATACCTTAGTCTTGTAGAGAAGGTATGCACACTAATATGGATGAGAGCTTTTTACTATGGTTGGCACTAGAAAGATACAACTAGAATTTTATGCTGTCATTTAACTGTGACCTGTGCCTTGCGCTTGCAGAGGCAAAATGTTATGAAGCAGAGAAAAATAGATGTTGTTAGCTCAAAGAAACAGGTAAGAACAGCTATTTTTTCAGGGATTAATCATTGTAAGGTATTTTGGTTAAAGATTCGTTTGGTTCCTCTGTAAAGAAGGTGGCTGAGCACTCATATGAAGCCACAAATCTGGACTCATCTACCCCAGCCACAATAAATATTAACTTACAGGTAACTATTCATGAAGCACTAGCTGTAGATTTTCTTTTAGACAAGTTTCTGCAATCCTTATTTCAACTTTAGTCATTAGTGTTTACTTCATGCTTTACCCGTGACAACTATCTGGTGTGCTTGTCTTGTTGACCTGATTAATTACTTAGAAAAAAACTTATGAATTTTTGTTAGGCTGAACTGATAATACCTTATTTATTTACTTACATGTTATGGCACATGGCCTTAATAACCTATCTCTGTTCCGATTCATTTTGTTGGTGAAAGAAAATATTAATTTATTCTTATTCACTATAGACGGAGCAAGATGATTATGTGGAGCACAAGGATCTGCCGGCACATTACAAATATAATTATACTGAAGATAAGGTTTGCACACCAAACTAAACATATGGATGCAAAGCAATATATTATGTTCATTTTACTGGATACCGTTAGTGCCACTGCTTTTTTACTTTCCTGACATGTGTTTCTTTCTAGAACAAACACAGTATAGTACCGAATGACAGTATAGTGTTAAATTTTATCATATGTTTAGTAAGTGGGCCATTTCTACTAGACCATGCCTTTCCGCAAATTGACTAGTAATTTCTATTTAATTACAGGAAAAACATATCCACAATGATGTTATGGTGGATAAAAGCAAGTGTACTAATGAAATCAAGGTGCTGTATAAATAACTCTTTGTCCTATGAAGTTTATCAAATTGTTGATCAAATTATTGTATTTAAACTAGCACATATTATAGGTTGTGGCAAAGGAAACATCTGCTACTCAAATTTTGAAGCATCTGACTACCAAGTAAATATTGTTTTAGCAATGATATTTTTGTTACATGCATATTTTTCACTACTAAGTTATCTGTTTTGACTTGTTTCCAGCAGAACAAGATCTCAATAAGGCCTAGTGCAACAGTACCTGCTAGTGTATAAGACACATCTCTTAAAACTTCATACTATCCCTTTCTTAATTGTTCTTACAGTTGAAGTCTAAGAATCCTCATATATATTTTTGTAGAAACATCATTGTGGCACAATAAATTGGTGTGGCAGAACCGTCCAAATCTAATATCTCTCGGGAGTACTTGTGTTCCATTAGACACTAAGTACTCAAGAGAGGATACTAAACTACGCAGTTCCATCGAGCACACCCCAAGGGAGAACTCGAAAATCCACATTTTTTTCATCAGAATCATAAATGAGATAATAAAGCTTCAACATTCTTAAGTCATTTCTTACATCACTTTATTACAGTAGTAGAATATTACCTCAATTGATTATAACAGCGGAATATAATAATGTTATCAGAGTTACAGAGGAAGCAAAGATTAATTTAATGATATGGTGGAGCATTAACATAGTGGACATTTATATACAAGAGCTGCTAGCAGATTTTACATCATTTCTTATAAAAATCTTTAGTGAGGGTTATAAATAAACACTACGGTCGTAGCGTGAAAGGAATCCTCTCTGAGCCCACCAGGAGGTTTCCACACACAAAAGTCAGCTCTATGTATCCTCCGATCACCTGCAACAGGGGGAATAAAACCCTGAGTATTCGATTGTACTCAGAAGACTTACCTGATAGGAGAAAAATAAAAGACTCCAAGGATATACAAGGCTTATTTGGCTTATGGGTTATTACATCTGTGGAAGCATTACTAAACGTGCGTCATTATATTCAATTTTATAGCAGTCATCATTAGTTCATTAATTAACCATTCTATGTAAGCACCTATGCTACTTTCAAGCAGGTGGTAAGCAATCAGAACCATTTTATCACCTTTCAAGTTCCAGTTCTTACTACGGTGCTAGACCATATCCAAGTCGTACCGTCTCACAGAAACGGCGATTCGCGAATCAATGTATCCCAGCTGGGTATCCCGAAACACACGCCCCGTTTGTAACCCAGGCACAAACAAAACCAACCCATTTCACTCCTGTCGAGGGGTCCAGGTCCCCGTCCAAACTTGGAATCCAAGCCCCCGCACTTGAGACCCAGTCTCAGCATGGTGCTTAGACCTCCACCTTTCTCCGCCTCCAATCAGTCGGTCCGGAAAGAGCCGGAACCCACGATAAGAGCGCAACGAGCCTTCCCGCTCCCTTAAGCAAGTATTTGCTCAGGATAATAAGTCTGTGACCTGACTACCATCCACAGCAACGGACGGTCCTCAATCGACACAGGCGAAACAAGTGCAATCCGAGCCTCGCTCGAATGCCTAATCAAGTCTAGATCTAAAGTACCATTCCGCCCGGTCTCCAATTATCATCCATATATATTCCATGTGATAGTAATATAATAACAACAATAATATTTTTTCTATCTCTCGCGAGTGACGGGTAATCACACGACTTCTACCGGATCCTATAGCATAATAATCTACATGATCCTAACATACTAGTAGGACTCATAGGATAAGGTTATTTATATGCAAGTGGTTTTCAACTCCTTAAAACTTAATGCACAAACATAAAATAAAGTTCAGAATAATAGGGGTTATGCACCGGTGCTTGTCTGGGTAATATATAACCAAAAGTTAGTATTCCATCATAGTGATACGATCATCAAGGCACCATCTTTTCCGCTACTTCAGTCGACTCCATGATCCATCGTTGTTCCTATTATGATATACGTGGATGCAATGCAGAGACGTAAATAATCAACGGCAACTGCAACTCTAAAATACGATTACACTCCACAAGGTAACGAGCTTTCTTTAATGACTAATGTACTATTCTACTTATCTACGTCGTCAAGTAAGCTTTGTCTCCAGAAAAATATTTTAGTTCTAAAATCCCAAGGTGTTTCAGCATTTTATTGATTAAATATATATTTTTGATCTAGGGCCCATTCAGCTACCTTAGCAAACTAATTATTATGGAGCTACAAAAATAGCGCGAGCACGGGATGGTCCAGTCAGCAGTGGCCCGAGTAGAGCTGGCCACATGCGACCGAGCAGGGCGGCGTCGCTCCATGATGGACATCGACGTGTCACCCCACCTTCATTAAGCACCCTGGCCAAAATAGCGCGAGCATTGGATGGAGGGAGTCAAGGCGAGTTCGGGGTTACGAGTAATTGAACTACTATTAACCCTATGAGCCTTACACCCAAACCTCTCGGCACGGCGGCGTTTTGACCGGCGACGAGCGAAACGCTGAATTAGCGATCGGTAGCGCTTGGCCGGGCATGGGGAAGATGGGGCGCCTAGTTGCCTTCTTACGCCACTTGCTGGTGCGAGGAATCGAATTATGAAGCCCTGAGCTAGGCAAATTGGAGGGCAAAAAGGCAGAGCTCAAGCCGTGGTCATGCCGTGGAGAGGGCACCCGAGCGAGGGCGAGCGGATTAAGACGGGGCGGCTCCATTCGATGGCGGTAGCACGAACACGTGCGCACAGGTGGCGGTTCATGGGGCTTGGTGCGACGCGCTTGAATGGAGCGGCAAAACCCGAGCGGGGCTCACCGACATCGGCTAGCGGGACAGGGCGAAGCAGGGAGGCGTCACCATCACCCCGAGGCTAGGGTCGGTTGACCCAGACGCGGCGAGCGGCGACACGGACTCGTGGTAGGTGAATCGCAGGGCAGGGCGATTGCCATGTAGCCATGGCAACAACGGCCCCGGCCTCGGCCCAACCCCGCGCGCAGATCAACGGTCAAGATGGCACGCGCCCGCGGCGACAGCGGGGGCACCCGACAACAGCATCGCGACGACGCCACGCCACGCGACCGTGCAGCTGCTGCACCGGCGTAGCGCAGTGGCAGCCCTCTGGCACGGCGCAGCGGGGCAGTACCGCGGCAGCGAGGTGGGGCAGCAGCGCGACGGCCAGCAGATGCAGGGCGATGACAGCGGCCCGCGCGAGGTGACCGTGTGCACGAGCCAGGCATACGACGTGCACGAATTTTAAAGCACGTCTAAAAACTAACCTAACATAGTTGAAGCTAAACCACCTCGACCATGTTAACGAGGGGACATCAGTCTACCATAAGGAGCAAAACACAGCATTGACCTTTAGCTAGATTTTCCAGAATTAATTCGCCAACATGGCATTGTCACACTGTTTTCAAACTTCAAATTTCTTTCAAGTCTTGAGCTGAATTTGACTTCATGTTCCATTTCCAAGCCATTAGAAATACTAGCTAGTCATATTATTTTTCTACAGCAAGAGTTGCATCGTCATCTACAAAGTTTGTACTTCAAACCTTATTTAGGTGTCACGCACATGTTCTATAATACTTTTGCTCAATAAAAGTTGGTTTTCCACCCTACTTGACATAACATGAGTTATCGAATAAATTTCCATTTAACATCCTTATTGGTCATTTTAGGCTACAAGAAATTTATCAACACCTTCTATCACATGCATTACTATATAAACATGATGCTCATGATATGATTTAGTAGTTTGTTTAGGGCGTAACACTGAAGGTGTTATAATTGGTCAACTGGCAATTCAATGACGGTATGATCATTTGATTTCTTGCAAGTAGTCTGATCTGTTATGTACTTATTTTTTCCATGCTGATATATGTGAACCAGGTTGGCACCAAAGTATACTTACAGAGCTGGAAAAATCAAAATAAGTCTGTTGCATTGGGTACAATAGTAAGTTGTGATCCAACACAAAAACTTGATGGTGTTCAGCTAGGCAAAGAATTTTGAATGGTTCGTGTTAGTTTTGCAATGGTAGATGATGAACCATTGATACGACCATACAAAGGATACAAGGTTATTGGAGACGTAGAAGGATGAGTTATTGTTGCATGGCCTTCAACTTTTGTACGGTCTTTTCTATAACCCAATATAACTTTAGTTCTCATAAGTGTTCTATTAAATTAATCCAACTTTCATCTGGAGATCAAGAAGATAAATATATGATCACATCAGTGGAACGCTAGACTAAAGTGAAGGAAGGAGAAAGGACGGCTGCTGGCATACTAAGACGGATCCCTTTATATGTTTTATATTTTGATCACATAGGAACTTGTACTCCGAAAATATTGCGTCATGAATTATGTGGATGGTACTCATTGTAATGCAATAAATTCTTTATACTATATATATATGGTTGAGTGTGCTTATTTTCTATGTGTTGGATGGTCTTGCATTTTTCATTAAATTGTACATGAATTATCTCTATTTTTGTCTCCAAAATTAAATAATTAAATGATATTAATGACTGAATATTTTATTTCTTATAACACATATAAGTGTTGCAACAGACCAAATCTATATGTTACAACAAACCATAGAGGCCGTTCACCCATGGTTTTTACAAACACATATAAGTGTTGTCATAACCCATCATTATGCGTTGCAACTTTGCAACGGTTATTAGTACAGTTTATCAATGCATAAATAAGTGTTGCAATAGATCTTGCAACGCCACTTTAGACAACACATATTAGATGCGTTGGTATAGACATTGCTAACGTATATATAGACATTTAGTAATACATATTTGCGTTATAAAATGGGTGTCATTTTATAGTGTACCTAGACTGGGATTCGACGCTCGCTCGTCTGCCTCTACCTGCTCTCTGTCGTCTCTGCTGCTTGGAACCCTTGGAGAGAGAGACGCTTCCGTTTGCCTTCCCTTCCAAGTTCCAATCCAGCGGCAGGCCGGCCGGCCGGCCGGCCGGCTAGGTCACTGCCACTTGTGCAACTGGTAGAAACTGGTGTCCGATCCGATGATCCAACTGACCGGTTCCTCCTGCCGAGTGATCGATGAGCATACGTCTGACGTCGTCTCCTCCTTACTATTCTTGGGTTAAAATATCCCCTGAAGCCCCGTTTCGATCGCCCTAATTATTCCCGGCCACTAGGGATAGTTTTATTGTCATTTTGGTCCGGATCGGTGCAAGTGGCGGTGAATTGTTAACGGAAGTCAAGTAAAGGTGATCACTGAAAACTAACTGAGATCTTGCAGAAAGCGAC